CCGGCGTCATTTTCGGGCCGAACGCCCCCCGCGTATTGTTTTTTACACACAGGATTCCCGGGAAACGGATTTTCGCTTGCGTTTTTTTTTTTTTTTTTTTTTTTTTTTGTCAAAATGATGTTCTCGCTGAGGCGCCGGCCTCATTTCTGCTCCCGAATCGTTCCGAATCGTGCTCCCGCTGCAGCGTGGGCCTCATTTTCGGATCGGTGTTTGGCCTCCGTCGTTCAGGATGGCGTTCTCGCCCCAGCGCGGGCCTCTTTCTCGCGCGCCCATCCGCCCGCCACCACCGCACCACCACCACCACCACCACCACCACCACCACCACCACCACCACACACCACCACCACCACCACCACCAGCACAGCACCAGCACCACCACCACCACCACCACCACCACCACCACCACCACCACCACCACCACCACCACCACACCACGCACACACGCACGCACGCACGCACGCGCACCACCACCCACTACGCACGCGCGCGCGGAGCCACAGGTCCGCTACGACACGCGTCCGCGGATAGAGAAAATCAGCGCCATGGTAAGGGATGGGAGGGAGGGGTAGGACGTCAGATATGACGCGAGCGCACCTAGCTTGCCCCTCCCCCTCCCCCTCTTCCTCCGTCCCCCATTCTCCCTTCTCCTCCCCCTGTCCTCCCTCCATCGACAATTACGCAATTTGAATGCTACTCTCCTCTCTTCCCTGACTCTGTCCAGAGAGTCTCCCGTGCTCTCCGCGTATTGTTTTCTACACCAGATGTCATGATTTGTTTGTTTCATAATTCTTTGTGTTTTTCAATATGGTCGTTTCTGGTTCCTCCAAAATGATGCTCCCGCTATAGCGCCGCCGTCATTTCCGCATATCGTGTTCCCGCTGCAGCGCTGGCCTCGTTCCCACGCTTCCAGAGGACGGAACTTGGCATTCGAGAGCGCCCACATCGGGCAGGCACCGTTGCGGAGGACATGGAGCCGGCATTCCGGACAGGCTTTGTCCTCTCGCGGACGCGACATTTACCCACCAAGGCAGGCATTTGGCGCCATGCCACAGCATGCAATGCGATGTTGTATTGTGCGCCGTTGTGCGATGCCATGTTTTGCGTTGCTATGTCTTGTTGTACAACGTGTCACTACACAATGCCACGCCATGCTATGACATGCTATGCTATGCCGTGCTCTTCTACACCATGTTTTTTTTCCAGCGCGTACCCTTTTTGGATCAAAGCCCTGCTCGACATCCGATTGTGCGAAACCATGGGAGATCTACACCATAGTAAAGGATGGGAGGGGGGGTAAGACGTCAGATGTAACCCTAGCTCGCCTAGCTTGTCCCTCCCCCCCTCTCCCCCTCGCCCCTCTCCCTCCTTCCTTCCCCCTCTCCTTACTTTTTCCCCCCTCCCTTTTTCCTTCCTCTTTCCTCCTTTTTCCCTTCCTTCCTTTTTCCCTTCCTTCCCCTCTCTTTTGTTCCTTCCTTCTTTTTTCCCTTCCTTCTCCTTTCCTTCCCCCCTTTCCTCCCTTTTTCCCTTCCTTCCTCACTTTTTCCAAACTCCGCCCTCTGCCATCCCTCTCTCTCGCAGCCGCCTCTGCGGTTCCCTGTGCACGTCGCCCCGAGCCCGACGCGCGCGGGCGCGGCAGGGGCTGGGGCAGGCCCAAAAGGGTGGGGTCGGAGGTGGATAGACCTCCCGCCCTGACACGTCGATTCAGGAATTGGGCGTTTTCGGTTCGCGAGAGGGCGTCGCGGCCGTCATTGTTGCGGGTCCAGGTCCGTCGATTTCGGTCCCAGGCCGTTTTCATTAAGGGGAGGTTTACTAAAGGGAGGTTTGTCCACCGCCGATGGGGAGGAGGAAGAGACAGGCCCCTCTCTCCTTCTCAAACCATCTTGAGGCTATTCAGGAAGAGGAGGGCAGGTGGGAGGGAGTGGCCGGGCCGCTCAAGAGTTGTCGTAGTTCCTCCCGAGGGCGGCGTACCTTGCGCGTGATGTTGTACAAGGTGTGCTTTGTCCGTAGCGCCGTACACGCCGTGCGTCCAGGCGTCCTGCCGTCTACGATCTAGCCGCCGTTGTGTGTGTGTGTTGATAGTTTGGGCTGGCTAAGCCTAAAGGGATATCCACACAGCGCCGTCGTCTTAGTTTACGACGCAGCTTTCACACGGGCACGGTGCGCGCAGCTGGACCCACGGGCACGATGGGGGGCCGCATCGAGATTTTTCTGGCGGTGGAGCAACGTCGAAACATCCAGAGCGCTTCTATGGATGTCTTAATGTTGGAGTACCATGACCATTGGTTTCAAATAGGCAGGTCTCACCGCAGTCCTATACGCCATGCGGAGGAACAGCGCATCGAACAAGGCTTCGCTTTGGATCATGTCGAGGAGGAGCTGGGTAGCCCCAGGCCGGGCCTCTGCAGAAACGACGAGGGACTACCGCTCGAAACCGCCGTCGTTTTGCAGCATGTCACTGGAAAAGGTTGGGCCCGATCTTGGTACATCTTGCCGAGCCGTTGCTGAGAGCATTTGCCGCAGATATCCAGTTTATTTTCCCTGACGCGAATCTGGGTTGTTCCGCTTCGGTATTCCCAGCGCTCGGCCTGTGCGTCAAATGGGCCCACGACCCCTTTTTGGTCGTTGAGGGCCAGCCTTTGTTTTAACCCCACGAGACGTACGTGGGTGCCCTCCCGTTGTTCAGCTTGTGGTTTTCCTAGCTCTGCCTGTGGTCCTCGTGGCTCAGCAGGTGGGGCGTGAAGTTCTTGTGGTGGCCCTCGTAGCTGTGCCTGTGGTCCTCGCAGCTCAGCTCGCGGGTCTTCGTAGCGTTTCTGGTGGCTCTCGCAGCTCTGTCTGTCGTCTCCGTGGTTCAGTTGGTGTTCCTCGGAAGTGTATTCGGGGCCCTGGTAGCTGATCTGGTGGCTGTCGTAGCTGTGCCTGTGGCTGTCGTAGCTGAGCTTGCGTTCCCAGAAGATCCGCTGGTGGCCCTAGTAGCTTTGCCCGTGGCTGTGGTAGCTCAGGTGGTGGCCGTCGTAGCACAGTGGGCAGTCCCCGTGGTTCAGCTGGTAGTTCTTGTAGTCCTGGTTGTGGCTTTCGTTGCTCAGTTTGCGATCCTCGTTGCTCAGCTTGCGGTTCTCGTGGCTCGGCAGGTGGCTCTCGCAGCGCAGCAAGTATGTCCGTTAGGAGTTTTGGGTCTTGTAGCTCTGGTTGTGGCTCCTTTTGTTCAGCTTCTGGTTATCGTGGCACAGCTTGTAGCTCTCGTGGATCAGTTGGTGGATCTCGTAGCCCTGGTTCTCGTAGCTAAGCCCGATGTCCTCGTAGCTCAGCTTGTGGCTCCCGTGGCTCTGCCTGTGGGTCTCGTAGCTCGGCATGTCGGACTCGGAACTCTTCAGCTGGGTCTCGTAGTTCGGCTTGTGGTCCCCGAAAGTCGTCTGGTGGTCCTGGTACGGTGCCCGCACAAAAATTGCCCACGCCGACGGCGCGAAGATGATCAGGCATGATGGCAACGACAATTGCAATGTACATGTGGCTCGCCCCCCTCACCCCCAAGCCCAAAGTTGAAGTGTCCACATTTTGTCCCCCGCGCGTTGCCTCGCACCCAACCCCGTCAACTTTGGGTTGGGGGGGGGCGGGGGCTATGGATATTTGTTCGACGCAGATCGATGCCGTATCATATTGGCGCCATGGGTGTGGACACTTTTTGTCCACCCACCGTAGCTCGGCTTGTGGCTGTAGTAGCTCGGAGGGTACGCTTTCTTCGTAGTCCCGAGGTCCGAATCGGATTCGTCGGCTGCCAAGTGGTAGTGTTCCACTTTCTGGAAGCCGGAGTAGTCATGGGGATCGTAGGAGTACAGGTCGTTATCGAAGAAGCTGCCGCAGTCGTACTCGCAGTAGGCGGCGCGGCCGCAGTCGTATTCATCGCCGACGGCGCGGCCGTTGTCCACAAGTACCTCCACGACGACGTACTCAGCTACCCTTTCGGGCTGCACGGTCGTGCGATTCCTGGTGTCGATCTTGTTGGCGTTTTTGTTGTCGTAATGGTGGTGGTGGTCCTTGCGTTTCCTGACGCAGCTCGTTCTGGTATTTGGCCTGCGTGTTACGCAGTTCGTTCTCGCACCGGGGCTACCTGTTACGCAGCTCGTGCTTGGATGCTTTCGCGAGGGCGGTCGTAGCAATAATAACGATGTCCTCGAGTCGAGGCTGTATCCCATGCTGGACGTTGTACCCCTCTCGTTTTAGGGCCGCGTCCGTTCGCGCCCACGGTCCCGGCATCCTTGCCGGTTCGACTTCACAAAAGTTGCAAATTCTCGTCATTTTGTATTTCAAAAATTGGTGTTTGATATTTGAGTCGTCATTCCGGCGCCCACTGACCGCGGCCGCGGTTGGGGGCTGAGGCCAGACCGCTGGGCGCGCGGCGGGCGCGCGGGCGAGAGCGGGAGATTGATCCCGCATATGGTCTTCCCCTCTTCCCTCTTCCTCCTCCGTCGTTTGGGATGCAACTCCTGGGAGACTACCATTTCAGAATCGGCACTGGTGTACACCTGGTCGAAAACTGGCCTTCTCTGGCTCAACCCCGCTTCATCCGGCGCAAGCCCGTTGAGTTCTGCCAAATCCCGCCGCATCCGGCTCACCCCTGGGCTGAACCTGGCCTATCCGGTTCATTGGCCCTGCAATCAGGCTCAATCGCCCTTATTCGCTCTGACGAAGACAGAACATTCCAAGAGTTGCATCCGAACGTCATCCCCTCCTTTTCCTCCTCCCCCGAGATCGGGCGGCGCGAACAAAGTTCGGCGGCGAGCCCGGGGGGAATTGAGAAGGGGCGGGCCCGGAAGTCGCCCGGCCTTCGGAGAAGTTTCTTAAGCTTCCCCGAAGAGTCCCGCCGCCTTTCGAGAGGGCCTCCTCCTTCTCACTTCCCCCCTCGCTCGCCGCCGACTAACGTCCTCTCCACTTCCTCCTCCCCCGAGATCGGGCGTCGCGAACAAGAAGTGCAGCATCGCGGGATAAAATCACGCCCTCGCCAGGAGGCCGACCGCAAGGTGGGCGTGGCGCGAAGAGCGGCGGCCGTGGACGCCCCGCCCGGAGGCGCCCCGGCCTGGCCGGCCCTGCCGGGCAGCGGGAGGAGGAAGAGCATCGACTAACCGTAATAGTGCCCCTTCGCCGAAGTGACCTCTGGTGCGGGCCCCGTGGGGACACCCCGATCGCCGCACGCGACACGATAGTAGCGACTTGCACGTCCAGGTCTGGCCACCCCGCGTCCCCCATGAAGCCGCGCACCAAGGGTCACTCTTGTCCAGGGTCACTCCTGCGTGTCGCCGGGGAAAGCAGCACGCGTCCTGAAGGACAGACCCGGACATGATCGTGTTGTTGGGAAAAGTCGGGCGGCTTGTTTTTCCTTGTGCGAAGGTCTTGCGGTCGGTGCCGCCGACCCTGACGGGCGACGACGACGACGACGACGATGACGACGACAACGGCGGCGGTGGCGGCAACGACGACGACGACGCGGACGTGTGCCAGAGTCCTCAGGGGTGGTTCTTGGGGTCTCTTCGGAAGTCTCTCGGGGGCCTCTGGGGAGGCATTTTGGGGCCTCTTGGGGGTCTCTTGGGGCCGAAATGTTCTTTCGGGTCCCCCGTCTGGGCACGCTCTTGGAGCCGTCTTGGGGGCATCTTGGGCAGTCTTGGCGGCGGGGGCCTTGGAATCCACTGCCCCTCTGTTATGAGGCCGTTGTATAGGAGAGGGAACAGAGGACAGAGTGTTTTCACAGTTTTAAGGAATGAGTGAATTCAGCATGGGTCGGGCTTGAAGTGCCTCGAAGAAAGCGCGCGCACCCGAATCGCAGACATATGGCTATATGCAGACTCGGGACACTTTGCTTCCCGTCGTCGTCCTCGCCCTTGCTCCGTTCCCCTTCCTTTCTTCCCTCCCCTGGATGGTGTCGAAAGCTTCCGCGGCTCGGGCGGGGGAGCGCCCCTTCCCACCTCCCTTATTATTCCTCGTTCCTCTTTGCCTCCTTGCTCCACCGTCCGTCGTCCTACCTCGTCCACCCTCCTTGTTCGAAAAGTGAAGTCCCTGGTGCCGCGTGCCCGCGTCAGCGGTACATGCTTTTCCGATATCCGCGCACAGCGGCGCAACCAAACAGAGGGGATTGCCAATGCGAGAGTTCGGGGCGCACCCAAAATGCGGGCGGCACGGCCGCCGAGCACAGTCGCATCGCTAACATGTAAATTATAGGTGCCTGCGGCAAGGTCCGCCCCCCTGCCAGAGCAGTGGTCTATATGGCGACGCGTGGAGCTTTGACTGTTAAGAGGTCCATGACATGTGACATCTCTCGTGTTTTCGGACTGCCGCGCGGCATTCTTTGGGGTCCTTCGAGGCCTTTTGGGGCGTCTTCGGGCCGTTGGGGGCCGCTTTGGCGCCGCGTTACACCGCGGCCGCCCTGGGCCAGGGAAGCGTGTATTTGCGGTTCTCTCCGGGGCGCCCTGGGCCGGGGAAGTGTGTATTTGCAGTCCCCCCCAGCTGGGCATGTCAACCTCGGTTCTGGGCTGGCAAAGTCGGGGCGCCCTCAAGGTGGCGAGCGTTTACCTTTTCGAAATACACAGATCAAGGTGTGATATGTGTACACAGTTTGTGTCTTCAACTGTGTATTTTCGTGTGTGGGCCGACTGTTTACACAGATCGTGGTGTGATCTGTGTAGACAGATCTCGTTCCCATCTGTGTATTTGGAGTGTGTCCCTCGCGGGTGGTGTTGAATGGGCGGGAACTTTCGCGTTTCTCTTCCGGCTGGTCCAGGGGGGCGTCGTGCGCGGTCGAAATACACAGTTCGTGTCTCCAACTGTGCATTTGTTGCGCGCCGTTCGCTGGAGTGGTCTCTGGGCGGGAGTTTCCGCGGGTCTCCCGGCTGGTCCAGGAGGGGGCCGTGGTCTGGGCATGCAAAGGCGCGGGGGGGGGTGGAGATGGTGGGCTGTGGGAAAGAAGGGGTTCGATAGGAGGGGTGGCCGAGGGGCCAAGGATGAACGGGACTGGACGAGAGCGGAAGAAATGAACCCAGGAGGATGTGGATCATCGGCGTCAGCATCGCGAGGGCGAGGGAGGTGGGGGAGGCAGAAGTTGGGGGCATGATGTGCACTAGGGCGTAGAGGATTGGAGGAGGGCAGGCATGTGGACGATGGGGGAACGAATCCGGCGCAGGAAGACGACGAGGAACGACGTGAATTGGCACATGGGGGGTGAGCAATGTGGATGAAGGGCGCGATGAGGACCGGGGCGATCGGAGGGGCATGAGGAGGGTGGGGCCACAGCGAAAGGATATTTGGAAGAGGGGGGGGTGGGGCATGAGTTCGAGGCGGGCGCCAGCTAACGATTAGCTGAACAGTGTTTTGCGTGTCCGTGCGCCCCCAGAACACAGTGACTTGTTGCAGAACTTCATGATATGGGTAATCGTGCGCTTCGTGCTTCAAGGCCAAAGGCTCGAGTCCGCGACGCCCCTTGGCGTCGCGATGATGCCGCCCCGATTTGCCAGACCGCAGATGCACAGATACGCAGAATATGTGTTGCAACGTTTGTGTCATGACCCTCTCTATACTAACAGACCCACGTTGGAATCCAACGGGGGCCCTCGCTGGGCCTCGGGATCGTCCACACACGACTCGGGATGAGAAGCCGGTTGTGGGGCAGAGGGGTCTGGATCTTGGAGGGCGTCGCATTGAAGACAGCAGGCCGTCGCATGTCTGGGGAGGGAGGGGGCCCAGAGATCCGAGGCCCCGTAATCATTGGAGCGGCCGGGTTTGGGCCACTTTCGCTCCCAGGGGCCCTCGCGGGGCCCTGGGACGGTCAAGAGACGAGTCAGGACGAAAAGCTGCCCCGGGAAGGGGTCCAGACCTCCGGGGGCCCACGCATCGGAAAAACTGGAGCGCTGGATGCCTTGAGAGGAAGGTGGGCTCCTACTCCTCCTGCCCCTCTCCCCCCCCGCGTTCTCCACTCTCCCGCAGCGGCTTCCGCCGTTCCCGCTCCGAGCTCGCGCGCGCGGGCCTCCTCTTCCCCCTCCTCCTCCCTTCCTTCCTTCCTTCCTCCTCCTCCTCCTCCTCCTCCTCCTCCTTCTCCTCCTCCTCCTCCTCCTCCTCCTCCTCCTCCTCCTCCTCCTCCTCCTCCTCCCTTCCTCCTCCCTTCCTCCTCCTCCTCCTCCTCCTCCTCCTCCTCCTCCTCCTCCTCCTCCTCCTCCTCCTCCAGTTAGTTTTGGCTCACGCTGCGCCCAGTTGGGTCGGCCCGCCGTCCCGCGACGCCGCCGATGCCGCCGACGACGGACGCCCGCGCTGCCGCGCCCCTGGAAGCCGTGCATGGCGCGGTCCTGGCGGTGCACGCGGCTGCAGGCCTTGCCAGCAGCGCCGAGTTTCCTCGAGGTGGCTCGACTCGTGCGTGCTGCCGAAAGGCTTCTCAGGACGGCGGTGGCCAAGCGGGCCAGGCCCACCCCTCCCGCGCCAGCCGTGGCTCCCCCCGGCGCCGGCCGCGGCTGCCCCGCGGCGGCGGCGTCGGCCTCGCGGCCGCGGTGGTTCGGCGCGCATGGTGGTGGACGGAAGGCAGGCCGTCGCAACTGGTGGAGTTGATGACGGTGGGGAGGCGGGGACTGGAGTTTGGGGGGTTACTGCAGGCATCTCGCCGATGCTGGAAGATGATAGCTGGGCCGACACGCTGCCGATTGCAAGGACAAGAGCAAGGGCAAGGGCGGCATCGCCGTCAGCCTGGCCGCGAGCGTGGGGCTGCCCAACATGGTGCTCGAGCAGGCGGCGGTGCCTGCGGCAGCGGCGGTTGCGGCACTCCCTACTCGTGAGTCGCCTGGAGCAGGGCTCGGGTGAAAGGGGGGGAATTCCGTGGAGTTGCGCAGCGCTCGTGACGGTGACCGAGCTCGCTGGCCTGATGGTCGCGGGGCATGGCAGTTCGGCCTGCTTCGCGGCGACCCCGAGCCCGAGGGCTGCATGATCCTCGTCCTGCGCGGCCAGGGGCGCAAGAAGACCGTTGCGCCAGATCGCCCTCGTCGACGTGGGGCTCGCGAGGCCGTTCGGCCAGGTCGCGCCCCTCTCCTGAGGTGGGTGTCGGGCGGGCGCGTCGCCCTTCCACCTGCGGACGTCGTCCTCAGTGCCGTCTCCTGTTCCTGTTTCTTCCCCTTCTCATCCTCCTCCTTCCCTTCGCAAAAGAGGAAGGTGGGTGGGGGGGAGGGAGGGAGGACGGTGGGGGGGGGGCCTCTCCTTCCCCCACTCCGCCTCCTGCTCCTCCCCCTGCCACCCCCCCTTTCCCACCCTCCGAACCGCCCCTTCCCTGACATCCTTGCGTCGTGTTCTTGCAACGTTCGGCTTCTGAGGGCCTTCGCCGGGCTGCGGGGCCGTCGAGAAAGATTCACGATGGAAAAAAAACACCCTTGGACAGGGCCCCAAACATCCGGAGGCCGCGTTGTGGACAAAGACCACGGCGTCGGATGTCTGGGTCTTCCAACCTCCTCCTCCTCCTCCTCCTCCTCCTCCTCCTCCTCCTCCTCCTCCTCCTCCTCCTCTTCCTCCTCCTCACCCTCCTCCCCCTCCCTCCTCCCCCCCCTCCCATTTCCAGGATGTGCACGGGAAATATTAACTTGGCCCCATGCGCAAGGATGGCGCGCAAATTGAGATGCAATGAGCGCTGCGCCTACCTCCTCTTCTCTTCTCTTCTCTTCTCTTTCTCCTCCTCCTCCTCGTCCTCCTCGTCCTCCTCTTACTCGAACGGGAGGTCACCCAGTCCTTCTAGTAATTATTTAGTGCGTGCGTGGGAGGGCCTCGCTTTCCGTTGCCATTTGGCTCAAAGCATGCCCGCCGCGCCCGATATGCAGCGCGTGCGCACTTTCCGCCATGCATTCCACATCTCAGATAACATCCGTTTTACATTCCGCATTCGTTGGTAGCGGATTTGCCTTGCATCCCGTTTACATCCCACCTTGCATCCCGCATTTTGCCCAGCCATTGCGCCCGCCGCCACGGCCCGCAGGGCTTCCTACCGCGCCGGCGGTCGCTGCTCTTTAACGTCGACTGCGACTGCGACATCGCGCCCTACTGCTCTACATTCG